GAACGGTAAGCATAGCGATATACGTGATCGAGTCTGACTGCTAGCGTTCGCGCATGTTCTCTTGCGAGGTTTGGACTGCAGTTGGTAACCATTCTTAGCAACTATCTCGTATGCCAGCTTCGTAGATTCCAGTCTTTCAACTTCACCGCTGCAAACATCGCGCGCTGTTCTAAACATATTGCGAATAATCGCTCGTTTTACAGCAGATGGATGCGCAGATGTGGCATGCAGAATTATATTCTTAGAACTCTCCTTCCGATACCATTTGACGTGTGCTGCTCCGTTTTCCAACATCACCTGCGTATTTAGATTTGGTAGCCAGCCATCGTGTGGTCTCTGTCTTGTCAAGCTGATGTACTGTGATTGTTCATTGAGAATTCTAAAGCACTCATCCATTTCGGATTGAGTTGCAGTTGCAATGTAACAATCATCGATGTAACGGCAGTACATCAGGGGACATCGCAATAATACCGGCTCCTCTATTTTGCTCATAAAGCAAATAGCGAGCGCGGGCGCTAGTCTTTGTCCCATCGCTAGTCCTCTTAGTTGTGCATAATATTGTCCCGACCATTTGAAGACGTTGCATGCCAAGCATTCCTTGACCAAGGAGATGATGCGCGCTTTACTGAGCCCGTATGTTTCCATATTGATAATATGTGAATCGAGCAGCTCAGAGAGCGCTTGTAAGGCGTCATTATTGGACACATTAGTGTATAATGACGTAACATCAAATGACTCCATTACGCAATTTTGGTCAAAGTGCGTTTTGCGTAGTTGATCAAGGAAGCGGCTTGTGTTCGGCAAATGGGCGGGGATCTTACATAAGAGTTGACTGACGATCTTGCTAAGGAACCACGAAATTCTGTCAGTTGGCCCACCTATACAGCTGATTATTGGTCGAATTTTGCAAGACGCAGCGGTCACATCTCGTGGATCAGTCAAGGCGAGTTTGTGCGTCTTTACGAGGCTATAAAAGACAGGACAAGCCGGATTTTCAATTTTAAGCCTACTGAGAAACTTTTCGTCTAGTCCCGCTTGCTTTCCGATCATCATCCAGATGTGATTAAGTCGCTTGCTTTGAGAAAGGAATTCTTTCTCGGTTGAGCGACGATAAACTGTAGCATCTGATAGATGAAGTTCAGTTATGTTGCGATCGAGCGTTTGCGGCATGATAACGAACTCGCCTCCTTTGTCACTAACAGTGAGACGAATAGTGCCGTTGGAAGTCAATTCACGCAGCTCTTTGAAACCCTGCCTTTGCGCATATGTTAAATTAGACTGCCTCATACCGCGATGTTTGTTAAGAACATTCAAAATTCCTGCTGACAGTATGCGAAATTTAACATCCGCTTCATGACAAGGATCGGTCTCTTTGTAAAAGGATGATGGAAAAGGAATAGGAGGGAGTACCCTTTTACATAGAACAGAGGGAGGTTGCAAGTTGTTATCGTGCCTGGTTTTGGCGCGCAACTGATCTCTAAACCGCTGCAAGGATCCTAGAACTTTGCGATATACCATGGAGTTGACCGTTTGTGTAGGCGCGAAGGATGGTCCTAAGCTGAGTAGGTCTAGCGCGTTGGCAGATACATGAACATTGCCTATGACAGTGACCCTGGCCGTTTCATTAGTCGTATGTGGAGCTAAATGAGTAAAAGACCGTTGGTTCACTGGATGGCGTTCAACACTGAGTTGACTTAATTCATGTTCACTAGAGAGTACGTCAAATTTCTTACGGAGTTTGGATTTTGCGTCAGATCGTATAGACTCGCCGATCCGTCTTGACGCGCTCTCAATCCTCTTCCATGTGTGTTCATTCAACAATCTGCGACACGCTTCTTCTTTCGACTCGCACTTCAATCGACTGGAGTACATAATGTGCTGCTTTTGTCTTATCGTAATCCGCAGGATGGACTTGTATAAATCACGTATCTTGGGATGATTTTCGGGCAAACTGCAGGTAACTCCCAGTTTATTCTTCGTGATGAAGTGTGGTAGCACGTCCGACGATTTGCACCGTTTAAGAAACTTGAGTGATTGGTTGGTGATGATCACTTTCTGGCGAAGCGCCAACGCTTCGCGGACTAAGGAGTACAAATGCGGCGGTACATCTTCAAGTAGACTGTATGTCTCCTTTTTGTAAAACCTTGGCATGCTTTGTAGATATTGTTTAACTGTTTTAAGCCGTAACAGGTTTTTAAAGGAACACTTTATTTACTGCCCGACGTTTCGGCTGAATGCCGTCTTCAGGGGCCTGAAAGCGAGTCAATCACTCTTTGATCAAACGATCTAGACCACCAGACACCTCCTCCAAACCGTACACTTGATTCATCTATTGTGACGCAGATAAGTTCTCAAGTTGAACAGCTTACCAAGTGTTCCTGGTGAGGAGCGTAAGGGTGTTAGCTCTCTCTCACGGTCGCCCACAGCAGATGATGACAAAATGAGCGGTCCGAATAAGTACGACACGCTTAAATAGTGTAGGCCACTCATAGCTCGCAAAATGGTAGAAACGGCTTCAGATCACTAGTGATAGACAAATGTTCATTTTTGCTGTTCATTTTAGGATTACGAGCAAGTATGAATGAAGCCTCTAACGCTTTTCGAGCAGCAATATGTTCTTCGACAGCCAAAATGCAACACTGGATTTCAAAATCATCTCCTCCATGGTCCTCTTTCCTGTGCTTTCCAAGAGGGCTTACGAGACTTTGTCTTCTCTTACTCGCCAGATGTTCGCTGACACGTACGTGAAGTGGTCGACCAGTTTCGCCTATGTAAATGGCATGGCATATCTTACATTCTAGCTGGTAAATCACTCCGCATTTCGAACAGTCTCCTAACCTCTCATCTGTGCAAACAACGCAGTTCTGCATTACGCATTGTCTGTCATACAATCTATTGCGGACCAGTTGCTTTTTGATGTTGTTTTGGGGTATGTTCACTAAAACAACATCATCCGCCAATTGCGCTTGTATTAGACATTGCTTGAAAGCGTTGCTTATTCTATCGGACACGAACGGTAAGCATAGCGATATACGTGATCGAGTCTGACTGCTAGCGTTCGCGCATGTTCTCTTGCGAGGTTTGGACTGCAGTTGGTAACCATTCTTAGCAACTATCTCGTATGCCAGCTTCGTAGATTCCAGTCTTTCAACTTCACCGCTGCAAACATCGCGCGCTGTTCTAAACATATTGCGAATAATCGCTCGTTTTACAGCAGATGGATGCGCAGATGTGGCATGCAGAATTATATTCTTAGAACTCTCCTTCCGATACCATTTGACGTGTGCTGCTCCGTTTTCCAACATCACCTGCGTATTTAGATATGGTAGCCAGCCATCGTGTGGTCTCTGTCTTGTCAAGCTGATGTACTGTGATTGTTCATTGAGAATTCTAAAGCACTCATCCATTTCGGATTGAGTTGCAGTTGCAATGTAACAATTGTAATTGTAATTGTAATTGTAATTGTTACAATTGCATTGTAACAATTCTCCTCACCAGGAACACTTGGTAAGCTGTTCAACTTGAGAACTTATCTGCGTCACAATAGATGAATCAAGTGTACGGTTTGGAGGAGGTGTCTGGTGGTCTAGATCGTTTGATCAAAGAGTGATTGACTCGCTTTCAGGCCCCTGAAGACGGCATTCAGCCGAAACGTCGGGCAGTAAATAAAGTGTTCCTTTAAAAACCTGTTACGGCTTAAAACAGTTAAACAAATATTATATTTATCAATTGAATTGACGCCTCTTTTCTTGCTTAGGGTAAGACTCCATAACCACGCTAATCTCACAAAAGCCCCTACGATGCAAATTCAATATCGTTTGATCAGCATGTCAAATAGCCCTCCTATGCCAAGTTTCAGCCAAACTTGTAATAAGCTATAAATTTTGCCCTTATACCATATGCCTTCCGTAATCCTCAATGCGACACCAAAGTCGGCAGAACTGTAGCTGAACTTGTAGCTTAAGTTATAGCCTACGAAATAGCAAAATTTAGTGCTTCATATACAAAAAGAGAAAGGTTGAAAGCAGTTGCAAAACTTAGTCAACAGCCTAATAGATAACTGTAACCGAACGACTCTGGACGTCGTCAAGTTATGAGCGTTTTTTTCTGAGTTAAAAAATTCAATGCTTAATTAGCACAAAATTTGTCAGAGTTGCTCAACTAGTCCAATGTTGATTATCAGTACAACATTGGAGTATTTGAACAATACCTTTTGTCCAAAATACTCATACTAAACGCTGCTTTATTTGAGCGCTGAAAAGACCATAAAAGCATATGGTATAAGGGCAAAATTTATAGATTATTACAAGTTTGGCTGAAACTTGGCATAGGAGGGCTATTTGACATGCTGATCAAACGATATTGAATTTGCATCGTAGGGGCTTTTGTGAGATTAGTGTGGTTATGGAGTCTCACCCTAAGCAAGAAAAGAGGCGTCAATTCATATGATAAATATAATATTTGTGTTCGACAGGTCAAATAACCTTACCATGCAAAGTTTCAGCAAATTCCCAGATTTCGATCTTTTAGTCACAGGCGCTCGTCCCAGGCTGCCTTGCGTAGGCGGCTCCATCAACTTTGTGAGGCACTCACGTTTCGACTTATCTACGAACTGCAAAATTTTATATTGTGCTAAATAAGTCGACCTCTAGCATCAATTCATACAATTCAGAATCGTTGTGGCTGATCTAAGTTGAGAAAAACTTCATTTTTACTTAAAACCCTATAAACCCTCGACTTATCTTGTCATTACATATAATGCAAGCTTTTTGTTGCGCCAGTTTATAGCCCAGCGACATTCTAACCATATCAAAAACTGAGCACGCCAAAATCAAAAAAGCGAAAAATTACGGACTCACTTGCAAAACTTAGTTAACAGCCCAATAATACGCTTCGAAATTCGAAAAAAAACGCTCGTCGCTGTTCTGGCCAGCATTTGGTGAAATGTGAGTGACTTTCAAGCGATAAATACGAGCATTCTGTACTCATAAAACATTAAAAATGCTTTATTCGAAGTCATTCTACAGGAGAACTTCTTCCATAACTATCATCTGCAAACGCATATGCCAAAATCGCAGCTTCCACTTCTCTTGCCCTGAAAGAGTTTGCTATAAGATGTAAGGTGATAACTCAAAAGATTTTGAAAAAATTCGCATTGCTGATGTTTTTGCTTAGGTAAAAAAAGAACTTTTTTGATAAAGGATCTATCATTAGAGAGCCAATTTTGCCTTGCAATAAAAAAGGAAAACTGGTTTTGTGTCAAGTTTCATACTATAAACATTTTGCTCTTCATACACTAGAATGCATTCAGTGCACTTTGTGAGTTGTACCCTTGAAATGTTCGCTGAGATCTTAATACTGATGGTGAGGAGACTTCGAAACTCTGCAGCATGAAGAAGGGGTGGTTGAGTTATATGCATCCATATCATCCTAAGAGGCCAAATGCGTATCATTAAACCGCGTTTGAAGCGAATGAAGCAGATGAAGTGTGGCCTTTAGCGCAAATAGGTTTGCATCTCTTGGGTAAAGCTCCTCTACTGTTTCTGGACAACTTGTTGCAGCCAAGCAGGTAAAAACTTACAAGACTGTCTATCATGCATAAAAAACTGTTTTTCAAGCAGTCAATCGCCAATTTCAGTGGCTTCAAATGTTCAATAGTAATTGAACTCTAATTCATAGCTTTGAAAGAAAACGGGACACTATGCCAAGTTTTCTTTCAAAGCTATGAAATAGAGTTTAATTACTATTGAACATTCGAAGCCACTGAAATTGGCGATTGACTGCTCGCAGGTCTCGAAAAACAGTTTTTTATGCATGATAAGCAGTCTTGTAAGTTTTTATGTTGTAAAAGATTTAGGCAAAATCAAATGCTTATCATAATTACCCTAATTTGCATATCTCTTTGTTAGATTTCACCTTTTTCCAACGCAAAGAGAAGAGAAGAGCGTAAAATTTCAGACGTAGTGCTAAGCAGGCTTGGCCATAAACATGATATCTATCACGGCAAAATAAATGCAAGAGTACTTTTAGGGAAGCGAGATGGTGGTAATTGAGGGAAGGTAGGTAATTCTGAACGTTGAAAAAGCGCGAAGAGTATGTATTTAAGTACGCATGAACTTTACCGCGTTCCTTTCAACACCAATTCGTCATACTTTTTTTACATAAACGCGCTGCTCTAAGTGTATTTTTCATTTCAAATGACAAGCAGTTAAACGATGAATCATTCACAATGTACAAGCCAGATGTGAAGCATGAGCATGCGCGCAAGCATAAATGGCCAAAATATCAATATGCGCACTCAAAATAAGAAATGTTGCAAGGTCAAGACAATTTTTACAAATATCACCCAAACGCTGAACTTGTAGCTCTTATCAACACTGCCCATGGTCTTTGGTTGACAGTAAAACGTTACCATTCTTCTACAAAGATCGATGCAGGCCCCGCTGTTGAGATAAACATTTGTTGTACGGGCTTGACATGGTGCGAGTCCACTAAAAGCTAGCGGACAAAACAGTATAAGGTAGAGAACAACAATGATAAACTTCATGTTCCTGAAAGTGATTCAAATTTATGTGTGCAGAACTACAGCATAAGAAAAATTCGTTAAAGCGTGATTTCAAATTTTTTAAGTACAGTCTATAGTTTGTGTCAATCAGTGCTCCCTTTTCGTAAAACAAATCGCCACGCTAGAGCGTCGCGCCACCTTCGCGCGCGATGGCTTGAGCATTCAAACTGGCCCATCGATTGGGAATCCGCATGCAAGGCTCTCGCGTTGCGATGCGTAGTTCCTACGCCAAAGGGAGTATGTAACTGAGGCCGACACTGCTACATCTAAATAGTGAGTGCATGTAGTTGATCATGATAGCGCAAAACAATTTATTTATCACAGAGTTTTTGAAAGGTTTCTTATTTAGTGCAGAGTGCGTGATTTATGCTAGTATTTATTGAAGAGAAGTTTAAGGATATTCTGAGCCTGATATCAACTAGACCGGAGTAAACTTTGAAACATGGCTGAGTGCATTGTAAGCGGAGCTGTTATAACATAGTTAGCCAAACAAGCAATGCAGCACAACTAAGAACTTCATTCAAGCGTAAACACTGTACGAAACTTGGTCCTTAATTGTACTCTTTTCAAAAGGAAAGGACAATGGTGACCGTAGCCTTCTGGATTCACTGCTTGCCTCAAATCGCTAATTTCGAATCTATCTTCGTTAGCTGCAAAACGTTTTTCAAGAAGAATTGGCGCCAGCACAAAAATAGTGATCAAATGGGCGCCAATTGTGCAACAATCGACAGCGCTACCCACAAGACCATTCGACACATTTAGCACGTATCGAAATTACTCGTACTCTTGTGCAAACACGCCAGATAAGGGAAACGGTTCTCCCGAAATGTCGTTCCGCAGATTACGAATACGGTTTTGAGATCAGCGTATCTATTCATTTACTTATTTATAAATACGCACAAGGTGCATCAAAGAGGAAAAACACCAAACAGAAAAAAACCAAAAAGAGACAGGAGGCCAGCCACTCCTCATGCTCAAGGGAAAGTAGTATAAAAAGAGGTAGATAAAAGAACGAAGCTCTAGAACCCAACAAAAGAAAAAAGAAACAAGCGCATTATCAGAAAACCTCTCAAGAATCTTGTACCCTCAAAACGACAATGAACCCATTTTTGGGTGCCAACCAGCCCCCGGTAAAAGCTGGCTGATCAGACCCCAAAAATAATTTATTTTGAGGGAGAACAAGATTCAAATGTGAAACTGTTCGATAAGAATGGAACCTGTACACATCCAAACAACGGATAAACACGAACCAGTGTACGAGGTCTAAAGCTAGTAGGAAAAAACTCCGATAAAAAGATCTATTTGGGATAATACGGCTGGTATCGAACATTAGACAAGACATGTTTGAGGTTGTTAACAACAAAACAAACAAAAAAACTGCAGGATTGCATTCGTGAACAAAAGACAAGAGCTAAAAGTAATCAAATGCTGCAAAGACCATATGAAAAGAACACGCAGCGAAACACCACTCAACGCAACATAACGCAGCATCGTCAGTAGTTACGCCACAAGATGCGAGGCAACACAGACGAACTGGAAAAAAACAGCAGAAGAGCCTAAAACTGGGATGAGTAAACTTAACCCATTCCACACTTGCAAGGCCTCACACATCTCTTGAGAAAATGTCTTTCAAGAAAGCAAAAACCATCGAGTGAAAAATTGCAGAACAACAGGAAACTAAGGAAAGAGAGAGAGAGCCGTAATTCAAGAGCCATAAATCGACGCCCATCTAAGCCAGGCAAGCAGCAAGCGGTACCTAAAGTGTGACCCTCAGATGTGAACAAAAACGGAAAAGATGGAAACAAAGCCATTGTCGAGCAGTAATCCTCCATATGGCATAATTCAAGCACATAAATGTAACTCTGAGATTGGAAAGCAGCTGCAGGAGGCTAGAGGTGCCATACACCGCTAATTTGGATCAGCGATCCTTGGCAAATTGAGCCTATCCAATCTTGTTCCGAGAACGCAACTACTAGCTGCACTAATGGTCTCGGCGGGGAGGCGCGAAAGAATCAGGGCAGTAAGCTGGGCACCGAAAATTGCTTTTCAAAACATGGACTACTCCTGATCCTGACTCTGTTCTAGTCGGTAATGCGGTGAAACAATAGTAAGAATAGGTAAATTATTACCTGCACATTATCACATATTACCTCTCTTTTCTATTCAAGTGATTACGTGGAAATGAGAGGTGTTAAGTGATAAAGTGATGGTGGAAATAGCCTCTATGAAATTTTCTGATGTTTTATTTCTTCCCAGTGATATTATATGAAATACATGTCAGCGACAGCTAACGTGATAATGTTGCTCCGAAAACGATGGGAAAACATAAAAGTCACATTAGTGCCACGCATAAGCCGTATAGTCCGCTTCAGCACCTGATTGGCCACCATGAAAAGCATTTTTTCCACCCATAAAGGCAATTGACGATGGTATGCTGCATTTTATTATATATGTCTAGACTAGTACAACCTTTGACAGATTTGAATTTTCACATGTTCGTATTTCCAAGCTTATATTACCAACTAGGATATTCGGTGCAAAAGCAATCTTATTATCGCAGGCCAACGCTTTAGAGATACTATTTCGAATAGAAACATATTGCCCAACTCTTTCAAGGCATCTATGATTGAAGTAGGCCACAAATTCACTGGTTTTCTGACTAAAAACTGTTGCATAATTCTCTTTTGATATCAGCCGCGTTATTTGTCTAGCAATAATCATGATAGATTTCAAAGTATGCACGCATATCGTTGGCGTCATGCTTGCAAGAGCGAGTACTTTCAAACTTTCAAGCAGTTTGATCCATCGTTGAAATTTACATTTACAGCTTTTCTGGCTTCAAAACGGTTCGCTTAATAAGCATTTTACATTCTTGGAAATCTTTAGCTCAAAGAGATTCAGGGAACCCGAAGCAGGAGTGAAGCAGAGTTTTTTTGCGTCAAAGAGCTCAGATTCACATTAAGCGCTAATTAGAAACTTTTAAAACTGTAAAATCACTGGCATTCCTGAGTTTCGTATACTACTTTCTCACCGAAGATGGTTACTTTGAGTAGATATACTAACAAGGTCATAATGACGTTGAAACTTTCCAATCTAGGATAATCAAGAACGATAATAAGTACGAAAGCAACTTTATCAAGAACCTTTGACGTCAAGAATTTTGTTAGGTAGACACATAAGTTTGCAGTTTCTTCCATAATTTTTCTCCTTGTGGACATAGCGCTCTTTTATTCTGGCATAATATGTAAGAAGCGTGATGTAAACTTATAGATTGGCACATAATCGCAACTTATTTCGTTACTTTTTCTTCTTGATTGTGACGAATTCATTGTTGTGCATAATGTAGAATAGATGGTAGGCTACAATACTTCGCCAACAGTTTCATTTTTGGTAGCGAAATGAAGAAAATCTGCGCATTTTTTGAAATATGGCCAGATCCGAAATTTCAAAGGTCGGAAAGCCAAAAATAAGGCCGTTCTTAGTCTGAATCAAAGAAATCGAGCCGAAACTGTGTAGATGATTAGAGATTCCTTCATTAACATTCTGGGTACAATTTCGGCCTGATGTATTTGATTCGAACTAAGAACGGCTTTATCTTTGGTTTTTTGACCCTTGAAATTTCGATTGTGACCAGCTTCCGAAAAATGAGTGAATTTTCTCCAGTTTGAAATTGAAAAAATCAGGCTGTTTGCGCTTCTTTGTTGTTTACTACCTATCTACATTATGATAAAATTGGATGCGTTACAATCAAAAAGAGAAAAGTTACAAAAAAGTTGCAAAACTCATGTGCCAACTTAATAAAAACTGCGCAAACCAATAAAAATAATAAACATTTTTCTAGACTGTAAAAAATTGAAGTTTCCGTTTTTTGAGCATAAATAAAGCCTTTCCAACCTGATGTTGTTAGGGATTAACTTATTGAACTCACCAAAAAGAAATGGAAGGGCGCAAGGGATTACTTTACGAGTATAAACACTCTTTCGCTGTTTTACAGATTATCACTGCAAAGGACGAGGGTGAGAGAACTTGTATAACTACAATCGCTTACTTCGCACCTAGTCCTTACGCCTATCACGGATACTTAGTATCGCCCCTTGTATTTTTTCAGAATATCCAGTACGGTTGCAAGGAAGAAAAGGAACTCTATTTGACTTGTTTTCGGTTTTCTGCTTTTTTTTACCATTTCGCAATATGCCAAATGCTTATACTACAACTGTAACTGCTTATACTACAACCGTCTTTTCATATCTGACTTTTTACTAGCATAGGTCCGTCCTTCTCAAAAAATGGAATGCGGGGCACCATTCAAAAATCAAAGCAGGCTCTACAATATGGTGTTTAAAAGTTCGTACGAAGCTTGATCTGCATCCAAATTCGAGACAATTGGAAAAAAAAATCCAAAATCCCAACGAAAACAATCGTATCTCAGTTCGAAAACATTCTGAGTTCCCACTTTCACGCATATAACCTCCCCATCAGGTATTTATATATGCACTTGCTGCACTTTTTTGATGGCTAGAAATTGAGAAAAAATTAGTGCTTTCAATTTTCAAACTTTGCCTGTAATGGGTCTATGCTCTTCGCAAATATGTGATTATATAGCTTATTCACCCAGCAATACTCACACAGATTTGCACTCTGGCAGAATGCCTTAGTTTTGAGAAATGAAATAACTGAAATTACTTATTTGAAAAGACTTATGGGACAAGTTAATGAATGTCGATTTTCGTAGACATAGCTGATACGTTTTTCAGCAACAACACCTAAGTCGCTACTAATCTTTCGCCTTTAAAGCAAAATTTTGAATGCCTCTGCGCACAAATGGACATGCTTATGCAAAACATCGTTCCAACTCCCACAAAACAATAAACGAACACATTAGACATCGCTAAACAGAAACCTTTTGATATCCCTTATATATTGAAATTTCGTAGTTATACAAAGAACAAAAGCATTGACGAAGTTTAAATTTAGGAACCACTTCAAGATGTTGGAAATGTGTAGTGTAAATTGCGGCCAAAGATGTTGATGAGTGGCCATTTTGCTGACTGGTTTTGGTTTAAGACTTTTGAAATGGCAGATAACAATTTTCACTGCTATTCGCTAAGTAAGGAGAACTTGTCTGTAACCAGTCACTAGATTGCTGTTCTCTGAATCCATTACAACATGATAACGAAGCTGACAAGTTGCAGAATTGAGCTGCCGGAGTTTCAGCTATATTGGGCACGGCTGCATCTTACCATAGTTGAATAGTTGATGTGATAGAATGAGCTCTAAACTACTTCCTTACAAAGGTCATGGACAAAAAAAACAACCAGAAAATTTTTCGTAAGGATTTTTATGCCGAAACGAAATTATGTTTCAACCAACCACCAAAATAATGCAAGCCGTATTCAAGTTTCTTTCGTACGATGGGGAATTTTCCAAAAGAGCGTATGCATTCAGAAACCTCTGATGTTCTCTCAACTCAATAAACCATCAAAAATAATTTTCCTGGTATCTAACAAGTCCCTCTCCTCCTCTGCCCCCCCCCTCCCCCTCCCCCCGGAAGACGGGGGAATTAGTTCCAACTTAGCAAGATTGAGCAACTATGCGACTACTCAATATATGAGTATATATTCTAAATTTTGAATATTTCTGAAATGTTATAAAACACTTACTATGTGCCATTTGGTGTTTACCTGGCATTAAAAATCGCGCCTCTTGACTATACCCTCCCCCCCCCATCTCCATCTCCTTCTCTACTAAGCTGGACGTGAGGTGCGAAATTTGCACATGCAAAAATGCTAAATTGTTTTCTTATATGGAGAGCTCGATGCGGTGGTTATGTGCCCTACAAAAACAAGAACACGTACTTTGATGGCTGCCCATGTCTAGCAGAACTACGCAGAAGTGTTGCCATACTTAGCTTGGCAGCGCAAAAAGGGATGATGCAGAAAATCATTACCGTAGGTAACGTAAAAACTTCATCACCTCTTTTCTTTTCAGCTCAGTTATTTAGCTATCAAACAAAGCAGAAACACGCAAGGCAAACTGATTGGAGACAAGCAATATGTAAATAGAATGTAAGCGAAGAAGTATGAAGCACCCTTAAAGAAGCCGGTAATAAAATAAGCGGAAATCAAACAAGTCATGCGAATGCAAGCGCTTGAGATGCTCGATCTAAAACCATTGAAGCATCCCCACTCATTTTATCATGTTCATGCTGAACCTCCGAAATTTATTGCTTGCAACAAGATGAATAAAGTTTTATACAAAATGCAAGTTTTCCAGCTAACCATGCAGAAATTCTTCAAAGTTTACCTCGTGCTCTGCGTTATGATTTTCTTGGTATGTAAAAACTTTGAGATGTAACTACCTTGTGATCTGTTATCCTTTGCAGGCTGGCTGTGTCCAAGCAGGTAAAGCAGTTCATGCAGTGTACAAATACAAATGTTTCTACATTAATGGCAAACGAATTTGCACAAATCGACCAAATGTGGTTCTTCTTTGAAAAATGCAACAGCTCTAAAACTCCAACACATTTCTTTAGACATGTGTATCAATAAAGTTATGTTGAGCGCAGACTGACATTTTGAGTGACAAAACTTATTTTTTTTGTCTATTTCAATGATGTTTACATACATGAGGACTGTAGTACATCCGGACAGTTACTCGTCAATGACTTTATAAGCAGATAGTGGAACACCACTGCATTCGACTCTTCATCACTACCAATGAAGCTCTGTTCTCTAAAGAATTTCGTTTCTTTCTAAATTCTGTATATCAATTTATGCTAAACTAGTATAAACGCTTCTTCGGAGATCTGTACACAGGAAAGGCAAGAGTAAAATGGAAAATTTTGGAAGCCACTTTTGCACGCTTTATACAGTGCCTTACCAGGGGAGGACTCAGAGTCGAAATCGGCTTTCCAAGTGAGTTTTACACCATTTTAAAGGGCATCTAAAACTGATTCCAGCCTGTCTTTTTGCCAAGTGCTTGTAAGCGCTGAGTTATGAGTATTTTTTGAAGCGAAAAATGCTAGCAAAACCTAGGTAAAATCGTTGGTTATGTTTTTTCCAGCTGCTTAACCTGCTCAAACAAAGAAGAGTTGAGTACAAGTATGTCAGACAAGGTCTTCTCATGCATAGAGTGCTCTGATATTCAACGCTGGGCCATATACTTAACCTTGGACGAACTTCAGTTGCGCGTTTAATTTTTGAGCCAAGAAACGCTCATAACTCAGCCTAGAGGATTGGCAGATAACAAAGACAGTTTTGTAATCACCGCTTGATGCGTTTCAGATTGACTTTAGATTTCCATAAATTTCATGTGGGAAAGCATAGGTGTAAAAGAACTCCAGCAATCACATTTTGAAGTAGCAGCTACTTAGTCCAGATTCTTAATATAGTAATTCTTCATAACAACCTGAGTTTTCGACTAACGAACTCCTTAGGTTTTCAGTTGAAGCTGCACATGAAAAACTGCAAAAACCTTTTCTATAAGGAAATTTGCACAAAAAAAAATTACAAATCAATAAAAACGATTTCAATCACTAGTCTTATGAATATTTCAGATTGGACGAGCAAAAAATTACACGAAACCTGTTGTATGGCTCGACGGTGGTAATCATGCTAGAAAATGGCCTGCATTTCATGTGGCGGTGTATTTTATTAAACAAGTAAGTGATTTATGGTATTGCGCTATCCTCGAATTTAATTTATATTCAACCGTACTTTCTGTGCTATATGCCCACCGAATCCAGGGTTCCCAAATTTATTATGTGGAAAAAGAACAAAAGGTTTAAGTCATTATCCGTACTGCTACTCGTGATTTACTTGTGGCCAAGGAATTCAAACCCTAACCTTTCTCCCTTTTTATAATTGATTTAATCGAAAGAGTGTGGGCAAGAGACTGATTTTATACCGCAGGAAACGCGCATGAAGTACCCTAGCATGTTACTTACAATTAACCAGAGCCTTCCAAATAATTTCCACAAAAAAACGACGTACAAAAATTCTCCGGAATTTGCCAAAAAGTTCATAAGCGGTGATGAATGATCAAGAAGATTTATGGAAAAAAATTTCGTCTTTTCGTCCTATTTGATTAATTTTATAAGTCATCACATAAAAAGCGCATAAGTGAAATGACTGTATCGTTATTTCAGTTCCAAGGTCCACATTAGAGAATTATCTTGCAGCCAAAGAAAAACAAAGTAAATTTTTATCGTGATTTTTTCTGTTTTCAAATCAACAAACATTAGGTCCTCTTTGGTCGTTCAGCACGTCAACAACTACCGCGTAAATGAAAAAAATACCGCTTGCCTCGATTTACTGGACATCTACGTGATTCCTGTTCTAAATCCAATGGTTTTATATTTTCCTGCTCATCGACGAGGGCCACAGTAAGTTACAAATATTTTGTTGTTTGGAGAGATTCCCAATTGCTGTGCAAATTTTGGACCAATAGAGCAGGATGATCACAAAATTAAGAGCCCATTGCTTGAAAGCGATAAGGAGGCACTTTCCGATATTTATTCCATCACCATCAATGAGTTGTTTTCGAAACAGATCTTGTTTATAGCAGAGTGGCTATGGCTAAAACTCCTCCCCCTTCCTGCCCTCTCACTCTGTGATAGTAATGTAAGTGTGACCTAGACCGATTTAACGTCTCGCCACAGTGGTGATTGATAATGAGGAACTGCAAAACGGGAAGATTGCGCTGCGTAAACAGGAATGGAATTTCAATCATTTTTGTGCGTATCAGCAGCCGTAGCAAATTCAACTTTTTGCAAATAAAAGACGCATGGCAAGTTCCGGGTGAAAGCTAAGGTAATTACCTAGTAAATGCTGCTTTTATTTAGAAGGACCATTATGTTCAGCTCCTATTAGCTCTGAAGGTTCTAAGGCCATAATTGCGGTTTTTTTCTAAGAGTCTTTTTTGTGCAAATTCGACATTGGCGCAAGAACCGTGCGCCGGCAATTTGCACTGGCTGGACGGTGTTGTCGAAAGACGTCTGTTATGAGGGTGCCTGAGCAAAAATTATGACATGGAGTACGTTTATCCTAATTATCAAGCGCCTACTTTACCGCCAAATTAGAGAACATACCTTATAAGAATTTGATGCTGAAACTTATCTCGAAACGCCGACCTAATTTTCGCGTAAAATGAATTTTTGCCCAGCAAAATGTTTTTATAAAGTTATTACGCATATTCTAACTTTCTTAAACTTATCATGCTGGCATTCACAACTACCCATTAGATACAGTACTCACAATCAGACAAATTTTGAAGGCCTTGAGCAGTTGTGGGCGAAAGCTTGAGGCCAAAATTTTGCCCAGTACCGTATTTTTTCCGAGCGGACCGAGTGTTTGTTTTTCTATCTTCAGTCTCATTTTGTGTGCGCCCAGTTTTCTGGTCTCATTTGCTCAACTTTATGCAGAAGAGTCAAACCTTTCGTCCCAAAATAATAGTTTCTGTCAGATTGTTGAAATAATAGTATAATATAAGGTCATTCCGAAAGTAATTTCGCTTTCTTCAAACGGGCACCACATTTGACAGAACAAAGATTTCTAAGAGAACTTGTAAGCGATCGATGCAGCATTTCATTCTCTTTCTAATGGTTATAAAACTGTTGCAAAACAGCCAATGAGAAGAAAATAACCAAAATGTGCGACCCATGCTTTTGAGATAGTCAAGTTTCACAATTTTTTGAAAATTTCATATCAATTCTCAGAAGAAGGCCAAATGAAGGTTCGATAGAGCAAACCTCATAGAATACAGTGCAACTTTTTTCTCTTTTCCTTAGCTTGTCATACATTTTTAACAGAATTTCAACTGATGCTACCGATTTCCATACTTGGACAGCTAAATCCCCGTAGAACATCAAAAGAAGAGCACCTCGCGCACTATTCGATGCGGCTTGTTCTCCTCTTTCTAATGGGTGTTTTTTGTTTCCGATTCATTTAGTTTCCGGGGATAAAATCATCATAACTCATTTTTCTTAGCGAGCCCCATGCTGCACCCGAAAAACTCGATATTTGATACTTCGAACCCGTAAACCCTCACTTGCTTTGTAAAATTAATGCTAACTCATATTACCATCTTGGTAGTCTCAAATTCCGAAGATATATGATGTTTGACGCGATTACGGTTGAGGTGGGCCTGCCAAAATCCGATGGTTCTTTTAAAAAATCTTTTAAAAAATTACGGCGAGCTCCGAGAAAGGGAAGAAAGTAGCACTGTATTCTATAAGGTTTACTCTATCGAATCGTTACTTGAACTCCTTCTGAGGATTGATATGAAAGTTTGAAAAAATTGCGAAACTTGACCATCTCAAGAAGCATGGGTCGCAGATTTTGGTTATTTTCTTAAAGCTCATTGGCTGTTTTGCAACAGTTTTATAACCATTAGAAAGAGAATGAAATGCTGCATCGACTGCTTCCAAGTTCTCTTAGAAATCTTTGTTCCTTCAGAAGTAGCGCCCGTTTGAAAAAAGCGAAATTACTTTCGGAATGACCTAATATAAAAAACGTAAGCGCAGTTCAAAAACAACATCAGATAGCGGGAAACCGTGCGGGTCCCGAAGGGAGCGCGCCTGCACTGGCACCTTTGAGATTACTGGTTTCCTAGTTCATAGATACAAAGCACTTCTCCAATTACAGCTTTCTAGATTTTGTTATATTCCTGACTGGGTGTAGAGGATTTCGCGTTCTGTGAGAGTGTTAGTAATAACTGAGCAGTTCATTTCCGAACTGCCCGAAAGATTGAGCAAAAACCCATTGGTAATTTATTTTCCTCCACCAAAATTGCTCATTTCAAATACCCATATGTTATCAGTCTCCCGACTTTTATCTGCTTTACTTTTGTGTCTAAACAACACATGATCGTTTTTCCAGCTCGGTTTGCTTTCCAAATCGGACCTCATTGGTTGATTCCAATCAGCAAAGAAACATAGATCGGAATTCAGGTAAAGCAGTTTTTTTGCTTGAGATATCAGAATGCATTTTTTCCACGTTCTGGCTGTCCTTCATTCATTTAGGTGGTTATCGACCAGGTTATTGAAGAAACAACCGCTGAACCAATGCGCAAAGCCTTCTTGGCTAGAGCAGTTCATTAGATCTCTATTTCACTACTTCTATATCAACAGTTAGCTTCAACTGCGTCTCGTTTCGCCATGGTTTTTCTCCATCCGTGCCACATTTACTTCCTTCTAGGATTGTCCATCTTCGCAACAAGGTCATGCATTTTCGAACGGAAAGTACTCTTTAATGTTGCCATAGTCTACCTATTGTCCAAGCTAGTAGGGCGCAAAACCAGTCCGAAATTGGACTCTATAGCCAATCAGTTCAATCATCATAAGAGAATCGTCTCTAGGGTTTGGATATCGTTCAGGTGGATGAGGTGATGAGGGAAAGACACAGAGCGAGCACCTTATATTTTTTGTGATTTTGTGATTTGTGTCGCGATTTTTGTGAATTTCTAACGCTTTATTCAAACAAGAGAGATGTTGTATATCTCCAGTTTGTCACATCTGTTCTGTAATGTATTCTACCTCCAGCAACTCTACTTTCTCATTTTCCTTCCCTTTTCTACATTCTTTTTCTAGGAACTTTCCAACTTTAGGGAAAAAAACATGCTCATTGAGAATGTCTGTAAGCGCTTACTTTGTAAATGGCAGACAAACTTGTTTCATCCCCTCAACTTTTCTTTTCGCATCCTTGTGTTATCTTTCTTTGTTTGAATCTCGTTATGTAAATAAAAGGCTTGCAAGCGCTAATCAATGTTGCATTGTTATTACATTACAACCAGTTAAAACAATATGCAAGAAGAGCAAAAAAGTGAACTGAAAGCAGACAATGTACCGCTGAGATGAAATGTTATGAAAGTTTGAGAGTGTAATAGCATAAATTGGATCATTAAGCGCTGTAGCAGTTTGATGCAAAAGTAAAAAATGTTTCTTCTGTTACTCATTGTGTATATGAAAATCACATGTGGGCACTATGTGAAACAAAGCCTGCTCCACAGAATGAATCCAAATATTGGCGTGAACCGGAATTCGCATCAAACTTGAAAGGAATCCAAATATTAGGTCGTTCCAAAAGTAATTTCGCTTTTTTCAAACGGGCACCACATGTGACTGAGCAAAGGTTTCTAAGAGAACTTGGAAGCAGTCGATGCAGCATTTCATTCTCTTTCTAATGGTTATAAAACTGTTGCAAAACAGTCAATGAGCTTTCAGAAAATAACCAAAATCTGCTACCCATGCTTTTTGAGATGGTCAAGTTTCACTATTTTTTAAAACTTTCATATAAATCCTCAGAAGGAGTTCAAGTAACGATTCGATAGAGTAATCCTTACAGAATAAAGTACTACTTTTTGCTTTTTCTTGTAACTCGCCGTAATTTTTTAGAAGATTTTTTAACAGAACCATCGGATTTTGGCAGGCCCACCTCAGCCAGAATCACATCAAACATCATCAAACATCTGAATTTGAGGCTACCAAGATGATACTATGAGTTAGCATTAAGTTTACAAAGCAAGTGAGGGCTTACGGGTTCGAAATATCAAATTTCAAGTTTTTCGGGTACCTCCTGGGGCTCGCCAAAAAAATGAATTATAATGATTTTTCCCCGGAAAATAAACGAATCGGAAACAAATAATCCTGTTAGAAAGAGGAAAAAATGCTGCATCGAATAGTGCGCGAGCTGCTCTTCTTTTGATGTTCTACGAGGATTTAGTTGCCTAGGTATGGAAATCGGTAGCATCAGTTAAAATTCTGTTAAAAATGTATGACAAGCTAAGGGAAGGAGAAAAAAGAAATACTGTATTCATAAGGTTTGCTCTATCGAGTCGTTACTTGAACTCCTTCTGAGAATTTATATGAAAGTTTTCTAATAATTTCCATGTTCCGTAATCATTAAACCTGGGCATGATCGTAAGTGTCGAATATTGTTGTGCCGAACAGGTTGTTAGGTGGTCCTTTTATTGTCAGTACTCTTCGGCCTTACGTTTCGACGCTTTCGTCTTCATCAGAGGCCTGGAATGGTTCAAAGCTTCATCCGTAACTCCAGCCCATCAAACGTCTCTACCAGCCCTTGCCAGTTTTCGGCGCTTCCCCCAATCTAGTGCTATAAGAATTGTGCTGGCAAAAGACATACCAGGGAACCACCGCTTCGTTAGATGTCCGTGCCGAATGTAGATGTTCGCGACGGACGACTGAGCTATACTGAGGGATGTCACATAGACAGTTATAGCTCACATAATGATAAAAACGGAAGGAAATCAGTGGTTATGGATAAGCA